AGAGAGAGAGAGAGAGAGAGAGAGAGAGAGAGAGAGAGAGAGAGAGAGAGAGAGAGAGAGAGAGAGAGAGAGAGAGAGACAGAGAGAGAGAGAGAGAACAGAGAGAGATGGAAGGGGAAAGGGGAAAGGGAAAGGAAAGGGAGGATGAGAGAGAGAGAGGAAGAATGATTTTTTTCTCCTTAAAAAACAATTTTCTTCCTTCACCTCCCCTTTTCCCATAGAAATAATGAAAAATAAAGGGCCACCCAAATGGTACCTAACAAAAAATAAACAAAATTTGCCCTCGAACCTGTATACCTTATTTATCCTGGCTGCTCCTGCAATAAAAATATATATACACCTAAACAGTGACAGAAGGAAAAGTCTAGAAAGAGAAAAGAATAATGGGCCTCACCTCCGACTCTGTCTTCGGTGATGGCTTGTCCAAGATTTCAATCTCCTTCTCTTCCATGCGCTGAGACAGCTTATTTGGAGAGTCTCTGGTGCTGATTTTGTTGATGATGTTTCTTGTGGTTGTGGAGGCCCTTTCACTTTCAATCCCACTGCTGGTGGTGGATGACTGTTCCTTGTTGTCAGGCTGTGGGTGAATTAAGACATAAACCAGATCCCAAAGATTATATTGAAGGGCATATGTAACTATCTGGGGAAATTAAATACAAACTCAAAATATGGTTTTACTTTATCTATGTTATTCTTGATATATTCAAGATTTCATAGCATCTCAAGTCTCTTTCCTTCAAACTTTTATCTGCCTTATGACTGCTGGTCAATACAAAGTGATACTCAAGGTTTTAGTAACATGCAGGGTTTAAAGTAGTGATGTTCTTTGCGAGTCATTAACTACTGTAACTATGACACACGTTCATGCAAGACATCTGATAACCTCCATTCCTTTTGTTATCCTTTAAAGAAAGAATACATCTCAAAAAACTCTTTTAAAACTGTATTATTCATTAAGACAAATTAACTTAGACATATAATTATTTTCTTAGGCATTCCAATTTGAAAATAACATATTTACTATTTTTTCACTGTTAAATTATGCATATACTACACACATTGTAACACATTCCATACATTCAACCCCATGCCGACGGGTGGTATACAAATACATGCCACAGCATAACTGAACTCCTTTCCAGATGGCATGCTCACCCATGCTACACATGTCGAGCCTGCTACAAGTTGAGTGCGCTTAACATCTCAATACTTGTTTGGCCATTACTGCAGTGATTTGTGAGCTATAGCCACTTAAAAGGAGGCTTAAGTTACTTTAGCTACAGCCAACTCATAAAGGGTAGGAAAATTTATATGTTTTACAAACTTCTGATTTTTCTCTCTCACTGCCTGGCACATGGTCCAATTTGGTGCATGAAGCTCTCGTCGGCAATGGGTTAACACCAAATAGTTTCTTTGAACAATTTATATCAAACCAAAAAACACGTGCAAATACATGTAAAGTAACTATTGATCTAAGCAATTCACTGTTATGTGACTAATAGCACTACGACTATTGCTGCTATACCTGTTCTAACTCCTATGATGTAAGTCTACAGGTAAAACATGTCTTATTATTCTAAAAACTTCCAGAAATTTAAAAATAATGCCTGATAAAAACTCACATTTCTAAGAAAATTCCATTCTGTTCAGAAATACCATCATCATAGACAATTACATTTAATTAGAGGCAAGGGAACCTTTTGTAACAGGTTAAACTAGCTAGTGATACTTGGCAGCATTTTCATCTACCAACAGTGAAGATCTATGATTTTTTTATATAATAAAAATTTGATGAAGCAACCTGTAGGCATCATTAAACTAAAAAAGACTAATCTTAACATTTTTTCTTTAATTATTGATATAATACAAAATTTGACATCTTGAAATATAATCATCACATGTTACTTGCATTTCTATTACTACACTTAAATCCTTAATCATGATAAACACCTGAAGACATACCTTTAAAGCCACATTTACTTAAAAATACTGTGCATTTAACAAACTTTCAGGCAATGTAATTTCTCTCATCTGCATGATAAACCTCAGCAAATCTTATCAATCAACATGGTGGGGTAGGTATCTTATGTTTCATAGTGAAACTACCTCTTATTTTGAAAACTTATTCAATCAATAAAAATGACAACATACATTATAACTGAAGTTCAGACTGATTAAGCCTTTTCCTTAATTATGACACTATTAAAAAGCAATAATAATAATAATGAAACACATAATCAGTTGTGAAGTTGAAAAATGAGAATCATTTCCTCATACTATCTTGACATTATTTCTTTTGGGGACAATCTAAACAATAAATAAAGAGTGTACCCCTAAGCAAGACATGATAACCTAAGTGAATGCCTAAGACAAAAGCTTCTACAAATTGCTTTAACACCATCTTCAAAACTACCTATCTCTTTAGCTACTATGTAAAAGTCAACATTCAACATCAGATGGCAATCACTGCAGAAAAATTAATGATAGAGCAACTTAAAGTTTATGTACTTCAAATTTAAATCAGCAAATATGCAGTGCATTTCACATTTAAAAAGAGCCAATGGTCTTGATTATATATCTCCTCTGCATAGTATTTGTAAGGTGATAAAGGGCTTGTTACAAGATAAGTCTGCAATGATTATGGGTGTGTCTATGAATGGTCCATTGTGTACTTCTGAATATGAACTCTGCATTACTCAAATTGTTTCCTTATTTAGATTCTATTAGTTTAAATTTGCATGTGATTGCATGTCATTCTCCACAGATGGTATATAGACATTTCATAATTGTCTAATTTGACCCTGACACATGCATATCTATCATTTTCTTTAACTTGAATTGAACTACTGCATTTATGGCCTAAATAATTTACCAGCTAATCTAAACCATCTGAAATTGTAAATTAATTGGTTAATGATATTTATGAACCTTTTCTTTGCATTCTGATAAATGAAACTGAATGAGGTATTAATTCTGTTACAGTATGATTTGAGTTGGATTCAAACTGCTAGCAAATGCAAGCAGTGCCAATTACCACTAGCTTTCTACTGAAAAATGTCACTTGTTCTAGATCTATACTAAGGTGTAGTTAGGCAATTTTTTAATCTCCTAATTCACCAGTTTGCTTGAACTGGGGAAAAGAAAAAAAACAAAAAACATTATAAGCCCTAAAACTGTCTACAGTCCTCTAAATCTAACAATATTTATGATGTCACATAATGCATATATGAGTATTTCACCTGAAACCTAAAAAAAAGGAAAAAAGAAAGAAAAAAAAAAAAAAAGAAAAAAAGAAAACCTAATGAAACCACATTTTCATATACTTTTAGATCCTACAGCAAAATTTACTGTGACACCAAAGCATGAGAGAATTTTAACTTCAATGGAGAGAAATACTTTGTATATACTGATGTACTCCTACATATGAGCACACACACATATAAAAACACTTCGAAGAGCAATTTAAGGATTTCTTCATCTGAGCTCCAATAAATAAATTCAACATCTTTCCTGTTCACTGGCTCACATATTCTTCTTTTTCTCCTGGCTCCTACTACAAAATTCACAAATAAGATCATGCAGCCTATATATTCCTTACCCTTCATCACACATGCCAAAGTTTTCAAATGCCACAATGACTATTTGTGACTGAAAATATCTGTGCATGTATTCACATCAGTAATACTTGCAAGTGTAATATGCATATAATGTATGCAGCTGTGTTCATGTGCTGGCAGTGAATTATAACTAAGTGTACAAATACAGTGCCCCGACTAAATAGTGCAAACATATATAAATATATATACATATTGTATATAGTGTGTAACTAAAGAGTACATGATATACTACACAAAATTTTCCATCTATTTACCATACCTGTGTAGTAGAAATCATAGTGTATGATATGCGCAACTCATCCACATAAAATGACAGTTAGGCAAAAGAAATGTCTACAACAAAGATAACATCAGAGCTCCCATGCTAAACTAAAAACAAAAAAACAGAAAATTATAATGATAATAATAACATGGCATACAAGCAGGATAGGACAGAGTGTTCTCTCACCAGGTTCTTTACATTACAGCCCCACAGTTTCTGAAGCGCCTGGAACTTCGTGTCCAAATTGGTGGATGTCTTCAGGTCTTTGTCCGTGCTGCTCTGGGTCCTAATCTGTAACACGGACCACAATGTATGCTACACACAGGACCACTCTCCCCTCCCCCCTAGGAAACAACAAACAAATTACAACTAAAATCTTTTAGGACATAACAAGAGAGAAATTAAGGGAGTACTGCTGAAGCACTGATTATTGAAACTCAAAGAGAAACACTTTAATAAGATAAAACACATTTCAACCCAGGCAAGAGAAAAGCAAACTGTGGACATAAATATGAAGGCCAAACACAACATCTACATAGCAATTAAAGACAGAATGTGAAGAATCTGTAAACAGCTTGATCCTAACCATCTACATGGCCTCTAAAACAGTTACAATATTCCCCAATGTGTGAATGTTCCTATTTCCCTGCTACAGTAACCATATCAAATAATATGCTCTATCTTCATTCATTGTAGTTCTGCCTGTGTAAACTTGTGCTATTGTCTGTATTAGTGCCTTTATTCATCTCCTGATGACTAAATTGGCTACACAATCTTTGCTTTATGATTTTAGTCTTCAGACTTTAGCAATTCCCATAAAATCTGTGAAAAAAAAGTTGTTACTAATAAAAGCTTGCAGTATATATGTTCCTGGAAATAAAACTTTTACTATGTATTTCACCTACAATACAGAATAATAATGATCATAATTTAAAATTTAATTTCATAGCATTACTAATATTTCCTTAATATTGCCTGTCTCACTTCACTCTACAACAACAATCATATATGCACATAGGTGCATAAATTCTCTTTTTTAAGAAATTACATTACAATTATTGTCATGAAAGTATTCTTTTCAGAACTTTATAAAAACTCAACATTGCCCCCAGCTTCAAATACATAAGCACTTTTACAATTTTTAAAATTACATTACCCTCCACAGCTACAGTTATGAATTCCACTGAGAGCATTTTCAGCTTAAGCATCCTAATTATGCTCAAGACTTACAAGATTACAATTAAAGTTGCTAATTTTACCAATAATAATGTAAAGTAACATATAAGTTTTCTATGATTAATAATCTTGTGTATTAATCTAGTTGCCATTTGTGTGGTGTAAGATTGATAATATTCTTGCACCTTCTTTGTAAATATCTTATCATGTTACTGTGTTGATAATCACAAATACATAATTCTTATAAATATATATGATATGATATGAATATGATACTGTTTTATGAATTTAAAGATAAATTCTTCAATCCATATTTTTCAGTAATGTTAACTTATCTTACATATTTAAATCATTTAATCAAAACTGTCTATATAAATAAGATCACACACAGGTAACAATTATCTTCATTTACAAAAGTTATGCTACTTCTACTTTCTTTCAACAATTTTTTAAACAAATTAATGTTCAAGACTGCCAGTGGTGATCAGGATAACATAATATGAACAGTGTTAGAAAATCATTACTGAGCTTCAAACATATTTTTAGCACTTGGGTATTCATGCAAAATGACAGACAGCATCACACAAAACTGGTTTACAAAATGGCTGTAATTCATCTAGGATCATTATATAAAAAGTTTGATTAATTCAACAACTTTCAGCAAAACTAAAAAAAAAAAAAAAAAAAAGGATAAAAGCAACACATTTAAAAGCAAAGATTATGCCACATGTTCTTCTTCAGCCAATTTGAATCCTCTGGAGCAGTGTTATGATCATGCTCTATCAACATAAATCATATTTAAAGACAAAACTGTATCTTTGTGTAAAAATAGCACTGTTGACAATGGAGTCAGAAGAAAAAAATTGCAGGAATATGAGACGATACAAAAATTCTGACTATGAATCCCAATGAGCTGGAGATGCTTTACATTGTTCTGCCCTGCCCCTACCACCTTCATCTAGATTTCATCTCCACTCAACTACAACAGAATTCTCATGCAGCTTGGTGCATAATCATCTATCCATCTTGATCATCTAGTGTCTTGCTTGTCATATCATGAGTATTAGCCATAACTTGATTTGAAGAAAGAAAATGAGAGATGAGAACAGAAGGGAAAGAAGGAGAGAAAGGCACTGGAAAAAAGAGGAGAGAGAGAAGAGGAGGAGAGAGGAGAGAGAGGAGGAGGAGGAAGAGGAGGAGAAGGAGAGTGAGGAGGCAGAAGAAAGGAAGAGGAGAAGAGGAAGGAGGAAGAGAAGGAGAGGAGGAGAGGAAGGAGGAGGAGGGAGGAGGAGGAGGAGGAAAAGGAGGAGGGGAGGAAGAGGGAGGAGAGAGGAGGAGGAGGAGATGAGGGGAGGAAGAGAGGAGGAGGAGGAGGAGAGGGGGAGGAGAAAGGAGGAAGAGGAGGAGGAAGAGGCACAGGAGGAGGAAGAGGAATGGGTGGAGGAGAGGGGGGGGAGGAGAGGGGATGGGGTGGAGGAGAGGGGGAAGGCAGAGGAGGAAGGGAGGGGGAAGAGGAAGAGGGAGGATGAGGAGGAAGTGGGAGGAGGGATGAGGAGAAAGACGGAAGATAGAGGGAGGAGGAGGTGGAGGAAGAGGGGGGGAGGAGGAGGTGGAGGAAGGGGGGGGGAGAGAGGGAGGGGAGGAAGAGGGGAGGAGGAGGAGAGGTGGAGAAGAGGGGGGGAGGTGGAAGAGGGAGGGAGGGGAGAGGAGGAAAAAGGAGAAGGGAGGAGGGGGGGGGAAGGAAGAGGGGACGAGGAGGAAGGAGGAAGAGGAGAGAGGAGGAGGAGGAGGGAGGAGGAGGAGGAGGAGGAGGAGGGAGGAGGAGAGGAGGAGGAGGAGGAGGAGGAGGACAACGAGGAGAGGAGGGAGGAGGAGACTAGGAGAGGAGGAGGAGAGGAGGAGACAACGACTAGGAGAGAGGAGGAAGAGGACTAGGAGGAGGAGGAAGAGGAAGAGGAAGAGGAGGAGGGAGGAAGAAAGAGAGAGAGATAAAGATAAAGAATATATGAAAACAAAATTTTTAAAATAATGTCCCATGTATCTCCGAAGTTAGAAATTATGCTAACCAGATCCACAAAATACAACTTATCTAAACAGATTTCATTCTAATTGAAAACACAATGAACTTGTAATGGAATTAAAGTAAAACATCTAATATGACTCACTGACAACTCCTTGGGCCGGTAGTCAGCACGGGTCTCCATTGAGAGGAAAGCATACTTCTTGTCTGCATTTTTATCTGATGAGGATTCTGTTGGTCGTAGTGGCAGCGGCCGGTGAGTTTTGATAGTCATACCTGTTTAGGGGATTATCAATAAATTAGTCTTTCATTATGAAAGCAATGAAATGTAAAAAAATTATGCATCTGCATTTCCATAATATAGAAGAAAGGACATATGTTACTATTCAACACTATTTGTTAACATTTTTAAAAGTTTTATTTTATTAGTTGAAAGAGCCATTACCTGTCTTCATTGACATTAGAACGGGCCCTTTCGTGGTGCCGCTGAACCACTCCTCTGCTGACAGTGCTGGTGTTGGAGAAGCTGTGTCTGGGTATAGGTCAGGCTGGAACTGGTCACTCTGCCAAGAAAAACATTATATCATTATATTTATCATGGAGAAATGCTTGCTTACATTAACCTAAAAGACTGAGGGGGGGAAAAGATTCTTTAAAAGAAGGGCATTTTTCAAAACAAACTGAGAAAGCTATAACCATCACTATACAAATTACCAAAAATATGAACCAATTTAAAGTGAGCCTGTTACAAAATATACAGTTGCATTTACACATATAGTGAACACAATAGCAAGGCACTGCAAGAAGTACTGCCTCTGAAATCATCACATCCTGCAGTACAATAGCGAGGAACAATGGCAAAAAATATTTCATAGCTTTAAACATGGGGAAACTATGAATCAAATATAGAAGGCAGGGTGTAAAATGCAGTGGTGGAAGAAAGTCAACAATTTTAAAATTTTGAAATTCTTGGTTACTAGACATAATACTGTCCATGACTGGCGCAGAAGCTGCCGGGAAGCTGAGCAGAGCAACAAGAGGGAAGCAGCATTAGCGACATGTGGCAAGGGGGGATGCACTCCCACTTGGCTGACTCATATCTGACAGACCTTGTCAAGTCTCTTGGAAGTGCCCTGTGAGGAACATCATGACTGAAGGACTTTTGACTTTGAGGCAGCGACCCTCCAAAGGGATCTGTTTCTAAGGGGACAACATCTGCTCAGATGACTTGCAATGTGGATTGCAACTCAGTCTTGTAAAAACCAAACAATGTTGTCTGATGATATCGTTTTTCTTTTCTTTTCATATGCAAATCAAATAATAATAATAATAAAAATAAAATTACACTAGAAGAAAATGGTTAGTTACTATGGCCACTTGTAAAATGAAAAGGGAATGAGTGAGTGTGTCTGTTCATCTGTGTAAAATAAAAAATATGGACAGAAGTAAAATTCATTAGAGCTATGTACACTTATATACATTAGAAATATTGTAAATACACATTAAAATAACCAACAAAATTCTTACCTTCCTTGGGACAATCATGGAAATGGGTTCACAAATTGGTTTGGTCGCATATAACTTGTAGAAGCGGAATATTTCACAATGTGACACCTTGCAACCTCTCTTCGGCATGATGCCCAACCCACGCTGAAACAGATGGTGATGTTAGGGGAACAACTATTTATAGGAGTGATACTTTAATACCATGAACCCTCTGGTTGCTGGTTCTTGTGTACACCCCTTCACAAGATTTTCAACCATATGATAAAAAATTCTTAATTTGTTGAACAAAGAATTCCTTTAAATACAATGATATATATCACAATATTCATAAAGAGAATTTTACATCAAGAAATTCCATTTCTTTTCCTCCATGCTCATGCATCTCCAAGAAACCATTACATTAATGTATCTAATAAAATGGCTTCTAAATCATCTCAGATGCATGAAGTGATATTAACCCTTACTGCCAGGAATACATAATGTACACTGTATTTTTGTTTTATGAAATGTGTTTACATACACGCAGCTCAACAAGTGCTCCACCAACAATTTTATTAGTACACCTAAGTGACCTCACCTGATTTCCCATTTCCTTGAGTTTTTAATATTTTTTAATAAGTTAATATCAATGTTATTATTGGTATTGACATTATAATTATTATGCTTTTTAACAATACTAATATAAATACAGAATAAAAAGAATATTTTTGAAAATCGAGGAAATAGGTACAGGTGAGACAGCTATGACTAGTAACTGACTCCTTGATAACTAAGCCCTTGTGGAACCATCTATGTGTAAACACAAGTAATACACTAAACTCACAGTGAGCATGGCATGTGTGTACCAGCCATCCTCATTGGCAATTGGTGAAAATAATGGAACTTCTTTAACAAAATCACCCCAAAAAATTATACAAAATAACATTATTTAAAACAGTTGTTTTCCAAAATTGTTGTTACCCCTTTCTCAAAAGAGAAAAGAAAAGAAAAGAAAAGGAAAAAGTTATGAAAAATAGATCTATTGCTATTTCATTTATCATCTGAAAGAATTAAGAGGTTCAAAGTAATCTAAAAACAAATATCTACAACCAGGGTTGAACACAGAATTTAGGCCCGTACTTTTTAAACCTTTCGCCAGGGCTGGCGAAAGGTTTCGCCGGGCGATCCGGAATTTCGTACTTTTAAAATCATGCCTGGCGAACGTTCGCCAGGGCTGGCGAAAGATCATATTGGAACAGCCTGGCAAAGAGAGCTGTTTGAATACCATTTTCTTGCTTTCAAATTATAAATTAGTAACATATTGTGTATGATAGGATGTAGGAATCACATTGAAATTATAAAATATCTCAAAATCATAATTTATTATGAAATAACGTATATACGTATTTTTTCAAGACCTTCGTTCCAGTCGAGAGCTCAAGACATCAGCTGTATTCCTACCCCCCTACCCCTACCCCCCCACCCCCGAGATGACTTATTTAGATTAGTGTTGTTATTTTTGGTTGTAAGGATAATGTTCTTTTCACAAAATATTACCAGAAGTGTTTTTTTATGCGGCATGTTTACTTTTGGCTATAGAAACATAGCTGTAGTGCTTCACCGCCCTATAATGAGGCGTCTTTAATGATACCCTTGTAGGCCTACAGTTCAATATCTTACATCAGTTAGGAATAGTAAAATAGTAATCTTTAAACTCTTGTTAAAGTATAAAGTTATTTTTTGTATAAAAGTATAAGGTTGATACAGTATAGTATAAAGTACTTTTATAAAACCTTTCGCCAATGCTGGCGTTCGCCTGGCGAAGCTTCGCCAGGCGAACATCTGAGTGAGGGAGGCCTTACTTTTAAACTAAGGCAGGTGTTCGCCAGGCCTGGCGAACGAAAGGATCGCCAGGCGCTAAACATCTTGGATTCCTGCTAAATCTAGCGCTTCGGCGAATGAAAAAAACGCGCGAAGAAAAAGCAAAAGGTTTTAAAAAGTAACGGCCATAAAGTTATAAAGGTAAATAGTGGTTCGCTCGCCATTATATTAAAAAGGCGCTAAATAACTTTGTTTGTTATATGCTGTATAAAGTGAAGACCTATATGCGGAAACCAACATTTTCTGGCGAGAGTTATATAATTAAGTTAAGGTTAACGTATGTCACTGAAAAAGCAAAAGGTAAACAATATTTAAAAAATTACGCTTGTTTCGGAAATAGTATAAAGGTGTCCTATAGACGTTATAAAAAGAAGGCCTCCCTAAAGTTCAGAGGTTCGCCTTATAGTTTAAGATATTTTGAAACGACAACACTGAGCAAAGATATAAGAGATACAGTACCTAAGAGGAATCCAAAGTAAAATCTAAAATATTGAAAAAAACAAATTTTGTCGCTTGGTGAACAAAATAACTTAAATGAGGTATGTATTTTGGACACCCCCAATTTGTATTAACAAATTTCGCTTGGGAGAACACCACTATTGTGAGTCCCACCCAACGCTGTGCGGTGGAAATCCTAGTAAGGCCTCATGCTGCAGAGACGCCTACATGCCTTGTCAAGTAATCTAAAAATAAAAGAGTAAACCGCGTAACAGAATACTGAGATGTTTATAACTTAACTCTTGTGGTTATCATATGGTACTAGCAACATGTTTCAAAAGTAAAACTTGAATGCTTACATTCTTTGGGCACTATGTTTTATATCCTATGAGTACAGCATACTAAAGTTTCTGTATAGTAATTTTATCATCAAGGTGAATTTAAACTACACAAGCAATTTTGAAGCAAAATCGTGATGAATCATTGTGCCTTTACTGTAAAGATCTCTGAACTAAAGGTTCTTATAGGCAGAATGATGAGTTAATGTAATAAATCATCAACAGCATAGTGCGTAAAGGATTAAATATATGATTATTAAATAAGGGACCGTCCAGCGTGTGGGGGAGCGAGTCGGAGATTTGGTCGGAGTGGTCAAAAATGAGTATGCTGTTTCAGTATTCGATAGGTGTAGAATCAGACGTGAAAATGAACTCGCCGGCCACGAAAAATTTGGAACTGTGCATTATGCTGGCGAAGAAATTAGGGCCCGTGCACGAAGGCCAGAACACCAAGTTCCCAGCAGCCTCCCGTCAGCTTCACAGGAGCTATAAGATGCATTATATTTTGACATTAACTATTGAAATGGGATCACAGAAGATAAAGTGTCTCTTATTATATACACAGTTTATACAAAGTGAAAGATTATGATATGAAAGATGAAAAATAAAATAATAATTATGAGACTTTTCAAATTTATATAACACGAAACAACCGATTTTATAAAACCGTCATATTGTCTTGGGTCTGGATTTGCCCCTTTTCATGGGAGTCATTTGTTTGCTTGTTTCTATAACTTAGAGACTAATGATCATATCTTTACCTAACAAAGTGCATTTGAAAGAGGAATAAGAGTAGTTTCTACAGTAATAATAATGGTTAAAGATCCATAAATGAAAAAATATATAAAAATTATCTTCAAATATCAAACTTTTGTTTTGTTTGTTTTTTGATGTTTCTTTTTTCGGAGCTTTCAAAAGATTCCTTTCCATAGAGTTTTTAATCCGAATTTTATAAATATTGTTGATATGAAATCTTATGGAACCTATGTGGAAATGCGTAAGTACATAACTTAAAAGTGATTTATTGAAATGTTGAGCTTAACCTTTCATTTTATAAATTTTATGGGATTAATATATATATTATATAATATTATTATATTATATATATTATATTATATTATAAATATATTATATATTATATTATTATAATGTTATATAATATAATATATATATTATATATTATTATAATTATTAATTATACTGTATTTATATATATATTATAGTTATATATTATTTTTTATTTTTTTTGAGAAAACTAAAATTTGAATATGTCCAAAAAAAAAGGGACTTGTAGTGTTCACATTATGATTGATCAAACATAAATTTATTTATTATACACAATCATTTCTTGGACATGTTTTTTGCCACGGTGAAAAAAAAATTGGCAGCGCCCCCCAACACGTAGGAACGCCAAACAACAAATGTGGTATAAAAGAGTGAGCGGAATATGAGAAATACATAAAATATCCAAAAATCAAGAAAATCCATAAGACCTTTCATTATTTCTTAAAAGAAATATTTACCCAATATGAACCCCCACCCCATAATTGCCACGCCCCTTCTAGGACGCCCCTAAATCACTAGTGAATAGTACATGTCCTGTGAGTCTGTTCTATCAATTTTGTTTACAGAGAGATGTCTTCAGAAGCACACCATCACAAAAGAGTCAATTATTAAACCTACACAATCTCATCTGTTTACCACATTCCCCTTTTTTCTCTCTTTTCTTCTTTTTTTGTAAATGTTTTCATTAAAAATACAATAATCATTATCATCCTCTTTACCATTAATATAACATTACTAACTAAAAATAATAAAATAAAAACTTTACTTCTGAAAATTTAACGACAGGGGTAATTGGTGAAGTCAAATATGCTTAGTAATTGCCTTCCCAGTGAATTAAATGCTTCTGGAGCTATCCATGTGTAAATAAAATTAATAAAACAAAACCAAATAGGAAAGTGCACATATACAAGAACTCACACCAACAATAGATAATTGAGCTATGACAGAAATGCAATTTTTGCATTCTTCCTAACATGTACATGCCTCTTATGTGATACTGTTAAAGTTACACAGGTTGAGCCATTAACTTTTTTAAGCAAACCTCATCCATTCCCCAATTTCTTTCAACTTGTCAGGTATTTCAACCACCACTTTGGGCACCTGTATCATGACCCAGTGTCATCCATGATTTAGACCAGTGCAGCCATATGATGCCAACTGCAACCAATGAGTTAAATAATACTATGCAATGACATATATATCTAAAAAATAAAAATTAAGGCCAACAAAGACACACCTATGATGGGTTTACGAGCAGCACGCCAGCTGTTTACAATAAGTGTACAGACAAAACTGTGGGTGCAGTGGAATGGAATGTACATGATACTCAAAGAGAATAGACTGTAGATCTTAAAAAGTATATAAAATTTCCCTTTGTGTTAGAGTTCCTTCATATGCCAAAACAAATACACAAGGTAATATGTGCAGTCAGAAAAAAAAGTATCATTACCCTTTACAAAAAGTATTATGAAGAATCAATCAAGTGTTGTGGAATAGTGAGGCAAGCCAGGTAGCATCTTAATGCTATGAATGTAGGTTTTTCTATAGTTACTCTATGGAGGAGTAACATTATCATGTATGTGCTGCAGTCATTAAAAATAAGTAAAAAATGAGTTTGTTTATCTATATGCATAATAAATAAATTAGGAAACAATAGAAGGGGAGACATTTTCGTTGAAGTTTATATTTCCCACAATTGTTGGAGCTAAGGAAGAGATGGATAAATGTTGAAGTTCAAGAGAACAGTGTTATGAAAACTATCTAATGGTTTATTTCTATAACTGTCTACACATATTTATGCCCTATTTTGCATACTGAGCAAAAATAAAGGCTGTATCAAAGGGATAATTATCAAATCTTTCATAGTCTCCATTTTCTGTGATTTCATGCTTATCCCTCCTGGGAAATGAGAAACAAGTCAAATTCAGTTTTCCTTCATGCTGTTTTTTAGGAAACCTTTTTTTTTTTTTTTTTTTTTTTTTTTTTTTTTTTTTTTTTTATGCCTCCCTCAAAATTTTGTTGCTTTTACATATGGACATATGGAAAAGTCAAAATCTGATATGCACCATTTCATCTTTTCTGATTTATCTAATGTTGTTGTCTGACAAATAAGCAGACATGTCATCCTATGTTATTTTTCATGTTTATTTCTGTAATCCTCTCAGAAGTATAATGAAGTTCAACTGTTAGCATGAATATCATTATAAAGATATATATTTCATCTTTAAAAATTAGAGTGTTGATTAAAAGGAAAATAATATGGCATTATATCAATAATTTGTATTCCCTCTAAAACAGCATGCCACTAAAACAGCCTTCAATCATAGTATGGATGCCACTACTTCCATCACCATCTTTTGCCCTTCATCACTGCAGTCATTCCCATGCATGCAATGCATTTTGGACAACACCAAATTAACTGCCATAGCTGCCTAAACATCTTCGATGGGATTTAAATCTGGAGATTACGGCAGATGTGGCAACAGCACAATCTTGTGGTGCTGCCAAAACCATGCCTTCACCACATTTGCTTTGTGAATGGGACTATTCTCCTGAACTAGAAAAAAAAATTTGGTCTGGTTTGCTTTCCATTATACCCATGTATACTGATAATAGTTTAAGAATTTGACTTACTCTAAACGGGTATTGGATATGATGATAAATATATTTTGTTCTTATTCTCCATCTAAGTCATGATGAGAGTGAAATAATGCAAAATATTTATTGAACATTGTAAACAAATCATCATATGGCAACATTAGCCATGGGCAGGGCTAACAAGATGCCTCATCCACAACACAGAGAGCAGCACTCAGGTCCTCATCGACCAAAAGTAAAGGTAACGATATTTTCTCTTTTTTATGACTGTACAACCCAAGCAGCTTAATTCATTCACACAATGCATTTACACACACATTAACATAAAATATATAAATAAACATACACAACAGTATTTACACAAAAAATACATATGTATGGATGTATTTACAAACGTAGCACATACTTTTCTATAGATCCAAACAAACATCTATTCCAGCTATATCACTGTTTTTTAATTATGTTCTACAAATTTTTGGATTCTAACAAAGAAAAAACAAAAACAAACAGGCCTCAACCCATCTTGCATTCAATTTTTGTCATGGGAGTCATTTCTGTAAATCCTCATTCATCACAGCCTATACTGAGCAACCTCCTTAATTGATATCCGACTCCTGCACTACCTAACATACCTAACATTCTATGTGCTATATGTGCAAAAACGTAGGACATACAACCGACTGCTACGTGTGGCTACATCAAGACGGCAATATAAAATTCATATATTTACCGATGCAGAAAGCAAGTGGACCAAAAACTCTCGTTTCCAAGCTTCAAGTACCAAAGCATCGTTCGAGTCCATCGTGACTCTGAAGAGGAATGTCATGATACAAGGCCACAACTACAGCAAGCTGGCTACTTCAAAGAGCTTCCTGAGCATTACCACTCTCTGATTTGCCAAAGCTTCAATGAGTGATGATTAAGAGCATATGTTCACCAAAAACAATGGTAAAAAAACATGCTGAATAGCTACTCAAGAAAGGTATCTTTAAAAAATTAATAAAGATGTTTACGATTTGCTGTAAACTTGAGCATATCTAAATTCAAAATATAAGTAAAATACATGCTTTATTTGTCTTTCAACTGATAATCTTTATGTTGATATAAATGACATGTAGTGTGGAACAAAAACAAAATATCAATCTTCTGGTTTCTGAAACCATATCAAACCAATCCTCTAAGTGTAAAGACATACAAACATGCTACAGAACATAAACAATATAACCAAGGAATAAAAAGACAAATCAAAATGAGTACAGAAGACACAGATGATCAAAGTTACAAGCAAATAGGTTAAAAAAAAATCTCCAGCCTACAGTAAGCTGTAAACAGCATTTAGAAAGCTAAAAAGAAAACACAAACTTGTCTAACCCATATAATCTTTCTACAGGAAGTACTTACAAAATGGTATACAAAACAAAAACTGGACTAGATGCAACCAACACCACAGATCAAATTCTGATTTCTTACAGACCCAGATATGATTAACCGCTGGATATACAGAAGGTATATGTGCTTTCATACAATATCATAAAAAAATAAAGTAAATAAATAATTGGATACAAAGTAGATTTGAGGCACAAGCTTTCAGTATGAAACTGTCAATGTTTAACCCATACTATAACACAGCACTCAAAAATAAAATAAACAGCAGTAAAGTAATGAAACGACTATAAAATAAGGACTACCAATATATAATTCAAAATTAGTTTTGGATGGTATCCCATATTTCATACCCACATCCAAATTAGAGAACCAGTATCCACATTTATTACAAAACAGCAACAGATAAGAGATATGATCAAATCACAGTTTACAACATTGTAGAAGTACAACAACTTACCTGAGGCTCTCCTGAAATGTACTGATTCAAAAAGTGGCAGTATGGGGGACTGTCGGTAATTTCGTAGTATCGAATGTTGCCATCACCCTAAGGAAAAGAAATCAAACACTTGACGATTTGCTAAAGATATAGACCTGAATCAGCCTCACATAATTTTTTTCCACCATCTCCAAAACTTTAGAAAAATGCACAAATGAAAACACTCTAAATAGGAACATACTATGAGGACAGTAAATAAAATCAAGTCTTACTACCTATATAAAACCAAACACAAGCAAACCAACTAAAGAGTAATCACCTAAATACAAAATTCTCACATTACCTTCCCAGCCACAAAGACAATCTTTGTGTCATGATCATAAAATGGAGTGAGGATCCCTGAAGATGAATCTATGACATCCAAGCGCAGGGGAGTATTTAAGTTCTTCTCATCCCACACACCAAACTGGCGGTCACTAAATCGAGAAAAGCCAGTGGTGAAGACCTTCCCAGTGTCACCACAGTACACAGCTTTGCAAGCTTTGGATCCCTCATGACATATAGTTTCCTGAAAGACAAATGCCAAAGATAGAAGAATAGCTTCTGGGGATTTTCATTAAGTTTTGACACAAAATAATATGTGTCTTCCAGAAAAGAAAAGAAAAGAAAAAAGTATATTAAAAGGAAATCGTTAGCACCTAATCTGACAAACTGTATTTTTACTAGTTATAAATTAACCCCAACAATCTGAATGCCATGAGACATCAGTATATTTTGAAGCTGAAAATAAAAGTTTCCAAGCAGCTACAAAATCGGTGCACAGGGCTGGCCCGGACTCTCCTTTATCAAAATATTCTTTATTCCATTATACATCCAGCACAATCCATGAAGTTATTCCTATAAAAGCAACCTCTTCAATACCATAATCACCACCTCAAGTCACAGAAGCTTTAAACATCAAGAACTCTTACCTGCAGAAGTTTCCCAGAGAGAGGATCAATGACACGCAATCGCTTGTCTCTACTTGTGGTTGCGATGCGGGATCCATTGCGATTTAGAGAAAGGCTGTAGATTACATCTGAGTGGAGATCAATCGTCTGCATGAGAGCAGCACGGCGTGTGTCCCACACTAGAATCTAAGGAAACATGTCAGAAATTAGTAAGACAATTACCAATTACCAGTTGTTCATCATATTTTAACAAAGCTTAATGGAACTGTCCTATACGGAAGAGGTAAACTCATTAAGGGGGCCGTCGCGCTCAAGAACCAAGTTTGTTAATTATGATCAAATTTTTGCGATTTTTTAAAGTTATATATACATATACTACAATTCATACCACCAAGTATCATATCATTTGGATAATAAAACATCAAGTTATTTTTTTTTTAAACAAGATTTTTAAAAATTAAAAAAAATATGTATTTCACTTATCCATTGAATGAACTTGTTGAAAAAAATACCACTTATACTCTATAGTAATACATAAATTATTAACAATTGGATTTTGACATTTTTCTTAGTTTTTTTTTTTTTTTTTTTTTTTATGTTCATTTTTAACCCATTCACGCCGGGGTATTTTGAAGCCAAAAATAAAATATTCCAGGCAGCTACAAAATCGGCGGGCAGAGCTTCCCCGGAGTCTGTCCGCCCGCCGGCCGCAGCCCACTGCTGCATCAGAGCACAGCCCCAATACAGCGTCACACTGGCGGGACGCCCAGCAATGTTTATTTTTTTCGGGTGTCTCATATATGGGACACCCGTCGCTAATGGGTTAAAAGTATAAAATATGATATATGGACTTTTATCACTAGAAATGAAAATCTGATCATTGAGAATATCACCCATTTATTCAGCTTTCAAATGATCTGAACCCCATTAGAATCCGCCAAGCAGTTACGGAGTGACACCAAAAAATGTGGACAAACGTGTAGTTTTGAGACATCAGGCTTTGAAGTTGAGTATACTTTTTTTTTTTTTTTTTTTTTTTTAAATTCTGATATCTGCGTCAATCTTGATGCATTCTATGGCATTCAGATATTCGCTCTAGTTCTCCCACACAAAAGTTTGGTTTTCAAAAATTCAGGGAGTGGGATGGGGAATGCAAAATGTTAAAATAAGCCATTTTTCATCTCTGCACATTCTTCCTGTCTTTTTAAGGATATAGACTAAGTCATCAAAAATTGACTTCCAGAAAGAAAGAATGAAAAAAATCTATAACAGTTCCCCTCTATAAATTCATCAGATAATTATCATAGAACTACATTCTCTCCTTTTTGTAATCTTGTTTGCTGCATATAATAATTTTTTTTACAAATCATAAAACAAAAAGAACACCCAACCCCATCATCTATGAGGCATGAAGCATCTCACCAGCACACTGGCATATCAGGCCATATGTTTAGAGGGAAAAAAGGTATAAAACGCTTCTTTTTAGAAAATGAGTTGTAGTAATTTATAATAATGATAACAACAATAACAATACTACTAATAATAACAACAGTAATAACAATTACAATAATAATAATAACAATAACAATAATAAAAATAAAAATTATAATAATAATAATAATAATAATAATAATATTAATGACAACAACAACTGCAAGTAATATACTGACCGCAACAATAGGAAAAAGAAGACTATGTGCCTATCAACGTATACTTTATCTTTAAAAATCACCACAAAAATTTGCAGACTGGCCTTTCGACTCACCTTGTCTAGTGGTAAAACCAAGAAGGCACCACCCCCTGCAACTTCCACAACAATGGCCACAAATTTCGGGTTGACAGCACAGGCTGCTGTGTCGTGGGTCTTTTGCGTGATGAGCACATTCTCGTAACAGTTTTCCTTCCTACTTCCTCTCCCAAATACGTGCCGGAACTTAGAGGAACGGATCCCTCGAAAAGTGTTCTACCATGTGGGAGACAACAGCAGTTAATAATTACTAAAGGCTATACACATGAATTATAACCAACATAAAGAAACAGTTTTTTCACTGAAAAAGAAATAAATAAAAAATTATATTATATTACAAACATAACCTATACTCTTAAGATCTTACAAAAAGAATTCATAACTAATACAAATCAAATGACTAGTCTTGGTTAAAAATGACATGTACTACTATCTCACATTCATAAAGTATAAATGGGTGTATTCTGCATTCTTCCAAGCTTCATGATTTTGTGAGCAGCAGTTTTCAAATATGCATTATATCTACAGCTATATCTAACTATATATATATATATATATATATATATATATATATATATATATATATATATATATATATATATATATATATATATATATATATGTATATACTACACACAACACACACACACACACACACACACACACACACACACACACACACACACACACACACACACACACACACACACACACACACACACACACACACACCACACACTCACTCACACACTCACTCACACACTCACTCACTCACACACTCACTCACTCACTCACTCACTCTCACTCACACATACATGCAAAACACACACGCAAACACACACGCATATGGATACACACACAGACACACACACACACACACACATACACACACACACACATACACACACACACACACACACATGTATATATATATATAGACAATGCTACAAGCTTTTTTTTTTAATATCATACAGATCTACTAGATACTGTCCTCTACCTGACATTTCTCAGATATTTAGCTTTTCCATCAAATAATAAACTTGTCTCTTTTATAAATGTAAGACCAACAATATAGTCTATAAATGCTGATAATCTGTCATATGCTAAATCATGATTCAATTATTAAAAAAAAGATACCCATGAGAATTTTTTTCACTGAGCAGATTGAGCGAGTGAAGCATTACTCGGGTTTGCCTACTGCCAATAAACTGTACATTCTTGACATATCTTTGCAAATCAGACAATTTGCATCACAACATGACAATATATTTTCTTACAATCACCCTCAAACTGCAAACTTAAATCTGAAAAGACGCTGCAATCATCTTGTTTAGGCCTTTACTGTTCACCAGCTCAGGAATCTCGCCAGCCACAATTGCCACTCAAATATAAAAAAAGGACCATTATACTTCCCACTGCACGATCTTTTGTTGAAAAAATGCTTGGTTACTATTTCATTTGCAAAAATCATGCAGACAAATAAGTAGAGGCTATGTACAGGAATATCTGTGATCACATAAAATCAATGAATTATCTTAATAAAAGCCATTGCAATTTAACTAAGATGAAGCATCCATTTATCCATTTCAATTACATAGATGAAAGATTAATGCAGGCATATGCTTCCTGTAGATGTATCATGTTAACAATGTTAACATACTGATGCCAGGATGGCAGGTATGACATGCATACCATGTCCAGTGTGATTTAAGTTTATTTACTTTGCTTACACATAGATTGATCTATATGGGCTTAGTCATCAAGGTGTTAATTACTAGTCCTACTTACTTAACCTTCTCCTCAATCTTTGGAACAATATTTTCAAATCTCTTATTACTATTACTAATGATATTAATCTTACAATAATCGTAATACAAATAATAATAAATAACAGTAATGATATCATGGCCATAAGACAAAATAAAAAAGAAAGTGAGGTCAGGCAATCCTACAACTTGAACCTTCTGTGACTAAGTGCGTGCCGAGCCATGTGTGTGTAAACAATATTCACTAAAAAACAATTACTCAGCAGCAAAGGGAAAATATTACAACTATTTTTCATAAAGCAATGGTACAATTTCTGTCATACTGGCATAGGAAACAATTTGTAATTATCAAAATATATATGCTTGTTGGGGTAAAGTTGAATTTTTGGCTAACATTCTACAAATTTATTTCTATATAATCAGTACAATCATATAATGTCTATAATCTTGGTAAAAATGCATGCTATGATCATTATTTTATTCTTTTGTTGTTGTTGTCTTCTAATTGTATTTACAAACAAGACTCCATAATTGTTTCGTCATAAATGAGCCAATTACTAGTCCTACATATTTCACCTGTTTAACTTTTTTTTTTTTTTCTTCCATAAAATTTCTTGATTCTTTATCTCTCATGGCTATTGGTATTATTAATAATAGAATAACCATAATGTCATAACTAAATACAGCATCAATATCAAGAACATTAGAAAAAAATCCACAAAACAGGTGGAGCCATCTCATTCACAAAAGATAATGACAACAGTAAATGTACCTGGCAGCAATGAGTTACTATAACTTCCAAGATATAGCAATAAGGATTAGTAAAGTTATAAAATTTTACTTTTCTATATTCATTATCTATGTTTGTCAATTCTCTAGGGTATATTTATGCATCTATATAGTTCACTGTTGTAAAAGGATGCTGACATTAAATCTCTGGACCTATTTTTTGTAAATAAGTAAGAAATAAATCATTGGTTATAATCAAATGACAAAACATGCATTAACTTACCAGGGAGCGAAGAGTTACAGATGAACATTGAAAGGATTTTAAACTAAAAAATATCAACATACCTAATACATATCTAAATTTATATAAGAAATGCAAATTCAATTCAAATATTCAAATTACATGCAATACAATCTAAAGATTTAGAAAACAAAATGGGAAAGGACGATCAAACAATCCATGCAAGGGTGGTAAAATAAATAAATAATTCAAACAAAAACATCTTTAGCCATAGGCGCACCATCTTTAAAATCTAAATTCAGTCGATACAGTACATCTACACATCATTTACTTTTCAATGAGACTGAAACGTGCACAGTTGAGGG